CCAGAATTCTCCAGCCAGCTGGCTGAGGAATTCTGGGAGTTGAAGTCCACAAGTCTTAAAGTTGCCAAGTTTGGAGACCCTTGGATGATGGGGTCATTAAAAGGAGATGATGATGATGATAATGATGATGATGAGCAAAGCTGACTGGGGAATTCTGGGAGTTGAAGTCCACAAGTCTTAAAGTTGCCAAGTTTGGAGACCCTTGGATGATGGGGTCATTAAAAGGAGATGATGATGATGATAATGATGATGATGAGCAAAGCTGACTGGGGAATTCTGGGAGTTTGAAGTCCGCCAGGCTTAAAGTTGCCAAGGTTGGAGACCCCCGATGTAAAACGCACCAATGTAGATCAAATTTAAGATCTTTGGTGAATTGCATCCGGACATTTATATAAAATATAGTATAGGTTCAGAGGTAGTCCTGGACTTACGACCACAATTGAGCCCCGAATCTCTGCTGCTAAGGGAGACAGTGGTTCAGAGAGTTTTTGCCCCTCCCTTTCTTGCCACACGTGTTAAGCCGATCTCCAAAGTAGTAACACGGTTGTTTAGTGAATCCGCCTTCCCCATTGACTTTCCTTGTCAAAAGGGAATGATGTGACCCAGGGACACTGCAACCGTCGTAAATATGAGTCTGGATTTTGATCACATGGCCATGGGGATGCTGCCACAGTCGTAAGTGGGGACAACGGACATAAGTCCCTTTTTCAGGGCTGCTGTAACTTCGAATGGTCACAGAATGAATGGTTGTAAACCGAGGATTACCTTTAATTCAAATGTTCGTCAGTTAATCAATTTGTTACTTAGAGCCTCAAGGTGTCAAAGACATTTTGATAGGCAAAACTAGAATCTGATTTGGAGTTACAGGTAGTTCCTGACTTACAACAGTTCATTTAGTGACGGTTGAAAGTTACAATGGCACCGGAAAAAAGGGACTTATGACCGTTTTTCACACTTATGACCAATTTGGGCACTTGCCAAACTGATTCATATTTATGACGGTTGCAGCGTCCTGGAGGTCAACTGCTCCCCTTTTTGTGACCTTCTGACATGCATAGTCAATGGGGAGACCCAATTCACTTAACATCTGTGTGACTGATGTAACAACTGCAGGGATTCACTTAACAACCGTGGCAAGAAAGGTTACAAAAATCCACTTAACAAATGTTTCGCAGACATTTTGGGCTCCATTGTGGTCGTAAGCCGAGGACTGTCTGTACTGATAAATCAAACTCCATAGCTGAGATCACCCTGTTGGCTTGTCTACTTTCTCGGATGTCTTTTAAGCTGAGGAGCTTTGTGATAAAATTACAACTCAACAAATCCTTAAGGGGAAAACAGACATTTGTTTATTCTGCAAATTTGGGAAGAGCAAATGCAAACATTAAATGGGATAAATCTTTCAACGCAATAAAAGAAAATAAATAGATTTCTGGATGCAGGAAGCCCTTATATCCTCTTCTCAATTGTTATATTGACTCTGCAGCTTTTATGTATGCCGTAACTTTTGTTTTTCTCTACAATAAACAAAAAAATAAAAATAAAAAATCACTTATCCACTACTTCAGGTTTGCCCTAAGAAGCTATTTAGCTATTGGGGGGAAGGGGTGGAAAGCCCACTGGACAGTGTCTTTAGCACCTTACCTTGACCTTTGGCCTGTATTTCAGGTAAAGTGTCCGGGAATATAAACTAGAATCAGAGGAAGAAAAGGGGGAAAAAGGAGATTAAAAGAAACAGTTTGGATCAATCAGTTTAAGTCAACATCACTGTCTGGTCCTCTCTTGAACTCAGCTCCACCTCTGGAACCAACTAGGAGGCTGTCATTGATCCTTCTACCTTCCTTCCCTCTCCAATATCTGCCCGTCCGTCCACCCTCCCTAATGTCTATCCGTGTCCTTTCATCTTCCTTCCATCCTTCCCTATCCAATGTCCATCTTCCTTCCCTCTGCAATGTCTATCCATCCATCCATCCATCCATCCATCCATCTTCCTTCCTTCCTTCCCTTCTCCAATGTCCATCCATCCATACTTCCTTCCTTCCTTTCCTATCCAATGTGAATCCATCCATCCATCCATCCACTCTTCCTTCCTTCCCTATCCAATGTGAATCCATCCATCCATCCATTCTTCCTTCCTTCCCTCTTCAATGTCTATCCATCCATACTTCCTTCCTTCCTTTCCTATCCAATGTGAATCCATCCATCCATCCATCCATCCATCCATCCATCCATCCATCCATCCATCCATCCATCCATCCATCCATCCATCCACTCTTTTTTCCTTCCCTCTCCAATGTTCGTCCAACCG